CGATGAGCCTGTGGTGTTTTGAAAGTCCTTTTGGCTGCGAGAAATTGTGGGATGATATCTGTGTCTCTGCAGCGTAGAAGGAAAGTCAGGGAGCACAGTAGATGTGCTTTCCTGGTCCTAAGTTTCTCCAATTTCCTTGTGTCTTGGAACAGTTTCTCCCCGTAGAGATGTTAAATGTATTGTCGAAGGCTTTCATGGCTGGAATCACTGGGTTGTTGTAGGTTTTTCAGGCTATATGGCCATGTTCTAGAAGCATTCGCTCCTGATGTTTTGCCTGCATCTATGGCAAGTCTTGGCTGCGAGAAATTGTGGGATGGTATCTGTGTCTCTGCAGCGTAGAAGGAAAGTCAGGGAGCACAGTAGATGTGCTTTCCTGGTCCGTAGTTTTTCCAATTTTCGTGTGTCTTGGAACAGTTGCCCTTGTCATTCACATTAGCCCTGTCCCACCTGAGCCCTAGCCCCCGCCCCTTCCAACCCTAGACAATCACGGGCAATGAGGCGATGGAGTATATTAATTGAAAAAAAAATGCTCCAAAACAACTAATCTTTTACTAATCTCTCTGAAAGTTTCGGAGGCTTGTGTTTTGATTTGTAAATGCTTCAGAGGGCTCCTTTCTGATTAGTAATTCCTATTTCTGAAACATCCGAATCTCCAATTACTGAAATGGGGTTTCGAAGCTTTGCACAGCCCTAATGAATTACAAATATACATACAAGGAATTGGATTTGTTAAATTGCTAAATTATTTCACAATCTCCTGTCTGACTGATATTTCCCAGGAAATACCTGCGTCAAGGCATTGCTGCCTTAACAGTCACCCCCAATGCCCTTTGATGTCTGTGCTCTGCCTTGATGAGAAGGCTCAAGCCTGCTATGCGTCCAACTCTCTACTTCTTCTGTTATTTTATTCACTAAGGAAATTCACTGTACAAATTATTCTGTGCAACTGGCCCATGCTTTCTTACACACCTAAACTGTTCAACATACCATTGTGCTTTTTCAAAGGTCACACTTTCACAAGGGAAAACTCAATTAACAAATGAGGTGTGCAGGGATGGGTGTGTTGTTTTGTGGTGACTGCTGAGGATAATAGTACAATGCCAATAAAGCTTAGCTTTTCTATTCTGTAGGACTACTTTTTAACCCAAGAAAACCTTCTTAAAAGGCAAGGGTCGTCTTATACGCCGGGATCATCTTAAACAGGGGGGTCATCTTATACGTGGAAGTAGTCTTATACACAGGGGTCATCTTATACGCTGGAGTAGTCTTATGCATGGGAGTCGTCTTATATGCGGGAGTAGTCTTATACGCCGGAAGTCGTCTTGTAGAGTGGGTGCTGAAACTTCCAATCCGGATTGCAGAATCTGTGGTTGCTGCATATTGTGGGGGGAGCTCAAAAATGGCAGTGGCCACATCCCTGCCGTATGCAGCGACTGTATGAAAGCATTAACGCGATGCTGTTCAAGTACGGCAGAAGAAAATCCATTCATCAGGATTCGTGGACTTAATGCAGTCCCAATGGGGAGGTGAAGGGGTGCCTCACCGGGAAGGTATAAGTGAAGGGAGGAGCAAGCTGCAGGTGTCCGGAGCGCCCGGGGTACGGAAAAAAGAGATAGAGTGGTTCTGGGCCCAGACAAACAGACCTCTTTTACCTGTCTGGCCCGCCCTTGTATCCTATTACTGTACCTCCTCCTCTGCCTCTCAGATCTCACTCCTGAAGATTGCGGTGAAGGTGCGCATGTGCGAGATCTGAGAGGCAGAGAAGGAGGTACAGTAATAGGAAAATTACCATATTGAAATCAAATCTGATGCTTTTAAAAATTTTATTTGGTGAGCGTTGGAAGAGTGGTAGTCTTATATGGCGAGTATATCCCAAACTCTATATTTTAACTGGAAAAGTTGGGGGTCGTCTTATACGCCCAGTCGTCTTATATGCTGGAATATACGGTATATATATATTGCACTACAAAATATATATTGATACTAGCGGTCCCCTGCCACGCGTTGCTGTGGCCCACTCTGGTGGTCATGGGGGTTCTGTTTGGGAGGTTTGGCTCAATGGTATTGTTGATGGGGTTCAGAATGCTCTGTGATTGTAGGTGAACTATAAATCCCAGCAACTACAACTTCCAAATGTCAAGATTCTATTTTCCCCAAACTCCACCAGTGTTCAAATTTGGGCATATTGAGTATTCGTGTAGGGTTTGGTCCAGATCCATCATTGTTTGAGTCCACAGTGATCTCTGGATGTAGGTAAACTTCAACTCCAAAACCAAAGGACACTGCCCACCAAACCCTTCCAGTATTTTCTGTTGGTCTTGGGAGAACTGTGTGCCAAGTTTGGTTCAAATTCATCGTTGGTGGAGTTCAGAATGCTCTTTGATTGTAGGTGAACTATAAATCCCAGCAACTACAACTCCCAAATGACAAAATCAATTTTTTTGAGTAAAGGACATACATTTGGTTGTTAGGTGTCTTGTGTCCAAATTTGCTGTGAATTCGTCTAGTGGTTTTTGAGTTCTGTGAATACCACAAACGAACATTACATTTTTATTTATATAGATGTGAAGTGTGCACTGAAATTCATTCAGGATTTTTTTTATTCAAATTTTTGTTCCTGGGTTATAAATGTGATTTCCTAATTGGGTCTATCATAAAAACATGGGAAAAGTTTGTTAAACTGCCAAAACAGGACATTTTGCAGCACATATTAGGTTTTCAATGAATATCTCACAACTGTGAGAAGTAGCTGTTTGATTCGAACCAATAGATAAACATTTCCAATGTACTGAGCAAATTTAAGGAATAACAGGCTCACTTGCACTGTCGTGCCAATATATGATCTTTCTCCAGAAAATGCACACTTCTGTGGCTCTCATATATGACCTTGTCTTGCTGGATAGTTGTGTCCTGAGCAAAATCTCTTTGAAGCACACAATATTTAAACTGAAAAAAGGAGCAGGGGGAGGTTCTGTTTACTTTGAGGCCCTTCTGATGCAACCGAAACCAGTCTCATGAGAACACTGAAAGAGCCAGAAAAAAAGCTTGTTTTCCCCAGCAAAGATCAGTGAAAACATATTTCTAACCACCACCAGCAAAACTTTGAAAAATTCAGCAGCATTAACATATATATAACAGTGTTTTTTAACCTGTGGGGTCGGGACCCCTGGGAAGGGTCATGAGGGGGTTTCAGAGGGGTTGCCAAAGACCATCAGAAAATGCATTTCTAACAGTCTTAGAAACCCCTTTAGCAGAGAAGGCTGAAGATCTCTCCGCCTGTCCTTCTCGTCCTTTTTGGAACCAGATGATGAATCCTCCCACCAAAAGCCCTCCTCCTGCTGGAGAGAGGCTCACGCCAGAAAGTCCCTTCAAGGTATGGAGCTTCCGTTTGGGAAGTTTGGCCCAATTCTGTCGTTGGTGGAATTCAGAATGTTCTTTGTTTGTAAGTGAACTATAAATCCCAGCAACTACACCTCCCAAATGTCAAGGTCTATTTTTCACAAACTCCACCAGTGTTCACTTTTGGGGCATATTAAGTATTTGTGCCAAGTTTGGTCCTGATCTATCATTGTTTGAGTCCACAGAGCTCTCTGGATGTAGGTGAACTACAATTCCAAAACTCAAGGTCAGCGCCCACCAAACAGTATTTTCTGTTAATCATGGGAGTTCTGTGTGCCAAGTTTGGTCCGATTCTATCGGTAGAGTTCACAATGCTCTTTGATTGTAGATGAACTATAAATCCCCGAAACTACAACTCCCAAATGATAAAATCAATCCCCTCCATCCCCATCAGTATTCAAATTTGGGGGTACAACAACAACAAAACTTTATTTATATACCTCTCTATCTCCCTGAAGGGACTCAGAGCAGTTTCCAAGTAACATCATCAATACATATAGAGTAAACAACATAAACATAAAATTAACAAAGCGAAATAAGCATAAAAATCACAATAACACATATATATTTAAAATAATTCTGCCTGTTCAAAGCAATTTTAAAAGGCCGGACTGAGGCTAGTGCAATTACAAGAGGGAAATTAGGTGTAATGCTATAGCAGGCCACAACAATAATAGGTATAGTCTATAGCTGTTCATTTCCGGGGTAGAAAAAGATATGGCCATATTCAGCAATGTCTGGGGCAGAGCTTAGAACTAGTCGTTCTCAAAGGCTTGTTTAAACCACCAGGTCTTCAAGCTCTTAGAAAAGGAGGGGAGGGATGGGGCCTGTCTTATTTCTCTAGGAAGGGCGTTCCAGAGGTGAGGGGCCACCACCGAGAAGGCCCTCTCTCTCATTCCCACCAACTGTGCTTGTGACAATGATGGGAGCGAAAGGAGGGCCTCCCCGGAAGATCTTAAAGTTCACACCGGTTCACAGAGGGAGATGCAATCGCGAAGATAGGGCCTGAACCGTTTATCAGGTATTCGTGCCAAATTTGGTCCAGTGAATGAAAATACATCCTGCATATCAGATATTTACGATTCATAACAGTGAAAATAATATTATGGTTGGGGGTCACCACAACATGAAGAACTGTATTAAGGGGCCGCAGCATTAGGATGATTGAGAACCACTGGTATATAATTTCCCTTCAATTGGTCTACAAAGGATGACTAAATCAAATATATATTTCTTGGCTTCTGTTAATGGCCAGTATTTTAAAATCTTAGACATTATTACACCATTTTATGATTGTGCATACCACAGGTCAGCTCTCACATTGTTTTCTCCTGGTGGGAGTTTGCTGAGAAGGATTCCAGCAGATCAATAAGTTACTATTTAAAAACAACTCATACCTAACTTTTACTTTGTTTAAAAAGTAATCTGTCGCTTTCATTAAGGCACTAGATAAAATGATGCTGAGTGCTTTGCTACTCATTAGTAAAGGTAAAAGTTTTCCCCTGACATTAAGTCCAGTTGTGTCTGACTCTGGGGGTTGGTGCTCATCTCCATTTCTAAGCTGAAGAGCCCATTGAAGCGGTACCTATTGATCTACTCACATTTGCATGTTTTCGAACTGCTAGGTTGGCAGAAGCTGGGGCTAACAGCAGGAGGTCACGCTGATCCCCGGATTCGAACCTGCAACCTTTTGATCAGCAAGTTCAGCAGCTCAGAGGTTTAACCCACTTCACCACCGGAGGCTCATTACTTTTGCCTTATTTTCCTGATTAAGAAGAGAGAAAGGGTTAGGTCAGTAAGTGAATGGAATACAAATAGGAAAATTGCCATCAGAATGCATGCATGAAATCCCAACGAAAAGTGACATTCAGGCTCCCTTCTGTACTGTCCTTATATCCCAGGATCTGATGCCAGTCTGATATAATAAATAATAAATAAAACTTTATTAATATACCGCCCTGTCTCTCCTAGGGGACCCAGAGCGGTTTCCACATATGCAAAATCATACAAAATCATACAATATAAAACAAAAACATAAGCACAAACTGTTAACACAACATATACCATACATTAAAATCAATTTAAAACCAAGGTAAGCTGCCAGGGGCAAAGTTTTCAATAAGGGGCCTGGACTATTTGGAACGGGCTGGGCCAAGGCTAGTCCAAACGCATCCACTCCTTCATCCCACCTCGTAATCTAAGATCATCCAGGAAGGCCCTGCTCTCACTCCCGTCAACAGCACAGATGCGTCTGGCGGGGATGAGAGATAGGGCCTTCTCGGCTGTGGCCCCCCGCCTATTGAACACACTCCCAAATGAGGTAAGATCCACTCCCTCCCTCCTGGCTTTTAGAAAAAAATTAAAATTATGGTTTTGGGACCAGGCCTTTGGGCAGTAGAAGTAAATGTATGCAGCATTTCAGAAAGACAGTGACTGGAACGGCGATTCGACGCACGAGACTGTTTTATTGTTTTAATGATTGTTTTATTGCTTGTGGATGTACTGTTTTTAACTTGATATATGTCTAATTGTAGTGTATAATTGTAATTGTTTGTACTGGCATTGAATTTTGCCATTACTTATATGTAAACCGATTTGAGTCCCCCTTGGGGTGAGAAAAGCGGTATACAAATACTGTAAATAAATAAATAAATAAATAGTGCAAGGAGAAGGGAAAAATGGGGCTGGCTGAATGTTACAGTGCAAGGATCGGTCTAAGCAATGGCCCTCCTAGGGGACCGGGGCCATTCAATTCCAGGGCCAATTAAAAGACTATAAAAAAGGTCTGGGCTGGAAGAAAAGGTGCCCTCAGATGACAGGGAATTGTGGAATGGATGGCATTCAAGGCCAAGTCCTAAGTGTTGGACCAAGGGCTTGAGACTTGAGACTAGTCCTTATTGAAGGACTGATGAAACCACCAAGTCTTCAAGTTCTTACGGAAGAAGGTGAGGGATGGGGCCAACCTTATCTCCTTGGGGAGGGCATTCCAGAGGCAGGAATGATATCTATTCATGCTCACTGATGCTTTATGAGAAGGCATCTGGAGAGTCACTGCTTCCTGATGCTTTGGTCACTCAGGCTGCAATTTCTGGAAATGAAATCCAGAACACTTGGAAGAGGCAAGGATTCCTTACTTCCCATCCTGTCGGTCCAGGTCATACTGGCATCACTACAAAACTCACATATAAGCAAAGTACATAGGGTGGGAAGAACGAAGGAGTATCTGGGCAAAATGTTGAGGGTCTAGACCTCTGGGTGTCTTGGCAGTGAAAAATATTCCAAACAATACATTACAAAATAAATGTTGGTATTTCAAGTGATTGGAAAGGGGCTGTAATGTATGTTACTAAATCTCAACATATCGAGGGATGCATTTACACTGTTGCAGTTTCAAACCACTTCAGCTACCATGGCACAATGCTATAGAATTATGGGAGCGGTAGTTTAATGAAGCGTCAGCACTCTTTTGGTGGATAAGCCAAGAGTCCAAAGATCCCTTGATTCCACAGCACTGCCCTTATGGTGTCAAAATGAATTAAAGTCTTCAATGTAGATGAATCCTGAAGTCTATAAACATAAATTCTTAATATGATCCAGATGTGGTAAAAGACAACATACACCCTGAGAGGAGAGCTAGTACTAACAGTATTATAGTATACTAATAGTATAGGCCAGGGGTCCTCAAACTTTTTAAACAGAGGGCCAAGTCACAGTCCCTCAAACTGTTGGAGGGCAGGATTATAATTTGAAAAAAAAAACCATGAATGAATTCCTATGGACACTGCACATATCTTATTTGTAGTGCAAAAAACACTTAAAAACAATACAATAATTAAAATGAAGAAATTTAAACAAATATAAACTTATTAGTATTTCAATGGAAAGTGTGGGCCTGCTTTTGGCTGATGAGATAGGACTGTTGTTGTTTGTGTACTTTCAAGCTGTTTCAGACTTAAGTTAACTCTGAGCGAGGGCCGGGTAAATGACCTTAGAGGGCCGTATCCGGCCTCCGGGCTGTAGTTTGAGAACCCCTGGTATAGGCAATCCCCGAGTTATGAACAAGATAGGTTCTGAAGATTTATTCTTAAGTTGAATTTCTATGTAAGTTAGAACAGGTACAGTGTAATTTCAGCCTATCTATCTCTCTATAAGCTTTGCATATATATTAGTTTTGGATAGAATAGGAAAGGTTTTTGTTTTGCTGTCTGTGTCCCTGTTTAGAGGATTTCACCTTTAAGCCATTCAATAACTTCTTCCACATGTGGTGGAAATGTAAGAAAATTAAGAAATTTTGGTACCAAATCTATAAGAAGATAGAACAAATCTTGCAACTGTATTGTCGAAGGCTTTCATGGCTGGAATCACTGGGTTGTTGTTGGTTTTTTCAGGCTATATGGCCATGGTCTAGAGGCATTCTCTCCTGACGTTTCGCCTGCATCTATGGCAAGCATCCTCAGAGGTAGTGAATTTTGCAACGGAAATTCAATTTTAAACTTGAATACTTTCTCTAAGGAATCACTGATTTCCATATGGACAAGAATTTGGACAAAAATTTCTATCACTTAATTATAGCAGGAAAAATAGTTTTAGCCAAAATGTGGAAAAACACCAACAATACAACAATGGACCCTAAAAATAATGGACACCATGAATATGGATATACTTACTCAAAAAATGTCAACTACCCCCCACAGAACATACTGGAGAAAAGTCATAGAATTCATAAAAGAGGAAAACATAGGAAGTTATATCATTAAAGCATAAACGAAACTCAATGGAACTATCACTGCGAATCCGACGACAAAAGTAAATAAGATTGAGGAAAATACAAAGAATCTGCAACCTGGGGAGACCTAGAAGTCTTTCCTTCTTTTTTGTTTTTGTTTTGTTTTTTTCTTCTTCCCTTGGTTGGTGTTGTTGTTTGATTGTTGTTGTTTGATTGACTCTTTCATTCTTTAAATTGGAGCCCCCGGTGGCACAATGGGTTAAACCCCTGTGCCGGCAGGACTGAAGACCAACAGGTCGCAGGTTCGAATCTGGGGAGAGGCGGATGAGCTCCCTCTATCAGCTCCAGCTCCTCATGCGGGGACATGAGAGAAGCCTCCCACAAGGATGATAAAAACATCAAATCATCCGGGTGTCCCCTGGGCAACGTCCTTGCAGACAGCCAATTCTCTCACACCAGAAGCGACTTGCAGTCTCTCAAATCGCTCCTGACATGACAAAAAAATCTTTAAATTTCCCACTTTTCTTTCACACACATTGTTCCCACTCTTTTTATGTAATAAAAGAAAAAAATCTTTTATCACTACTTCTTTAGGGAGCTTACCTTTATTTTCAATAAAAACATTTTTAAAAAATAACTTGTACAAAGAAAGTAGTAATATTTGGTTTGAATCTTTAATGGAGTGATTGCAAGGGTTGATATTTACAGGTGAAGGGTTAGGGTTAATGGGATTTAATTCATTTTTCTGAATTAAATCTCATTAAAACTTGCTGAAAGAACTAATAATACTTGCTTTGTAGGAAGACTCAGGAAGTGCACACTCATGCAGCTCTCGGAATCCTGGTATCTAGGACTTTGATACAACTTCCTAGAGTCCAAAGTAACTTTGTAAACAAGGCGTTCAAAAGCTTTAGGTAGGGAATCCTGTTTGATCCTGCCTGCCCACTGAGGTCAGCTAGGGAGGCACTGTTAAACATCCTGTTGGCCATGACACCTGGCCTTTGGGACTCCTGCTTCTGAAATATTTGCCTCTTTGACTACCTGCCACTGCCAACCAAAGGGAGTTTTGTTTGTTTGTTGTTCCAGAAGGCCAATAGCTTGACAACTGATTGTACTTGCCATTCTTTTTCTTTCTTCTTTTTGCAGATTTAGTGTCCTTATTACAAGTCTATATTTTAAAAGTTTATTACACAACCTGACTGAGAATCACAGCTATATCAGTATTTTCTTACATAGTATACAGAAACTGTCCCATAACTTCTTTGATAATGTAAAGGACCGTATAAGAAAGCATGCCTTCCCTATCTTCAAGTTTGGGGTCAAACATGTACAAGACACGCAAATGCTTGGATTGCATATCAGAACCATGGGCTTTAACCTGTTTCTCCATTCAAGGCTGCCTTTTCGAAATAAAAACTGCAGCCAAAGACATAGGGTAAATTTACACAATAGAATTAATACAGCTAGACACCACTTTAATTGGGTTGATGTAGGTTTTTTGGGCTGTATGGCCATGTTCTCTGGATGCCCGACCACCGTCTCCCAAAGCAGTTGCCCTATTCCGAACTCAAGAACGGAAAATGGAATGCTGGAGGACAGGAAAAGAGATTTAAAGATGGGCTCAAAGCCAACCTTAAAAACTCTGGCATAGACACTGAGACCTGGGAAGACCTGGCACTTGAGTGCTCCAGCTGGAGGTCAGCTGTGACCAGCAGTGCTGTAGAATTTGAAGAGGCATGAATGGAGTACGAATGGGAGAAATGTGCCTAGAGGAAGGCGCGTCAAGCCAACCCTGACTGGGACCGCCTTCCACCTGGAAACCAATGTCCTCACTGTGGGAGAAGATGTAGATCAAGAATAGGGCTCCACTGTCACGTACGGGCCCACTGCCAGAACACCGATCTTGGAGGACCATCATCCTCGAACTACGAGGGATCGCTTAAGTAAGTAAGTAAGTAAGGCCATGTTCTAGAAGTATTCTCTCCTGACGTTTCGCCTACAACTCACAGAATTCTGCACCACTGAGCCATGCCAGTTAA